AGCCTGGGATGAGGAGGTGAGACGTGGGCTCTTCATTGGTGCCTTTCTTGCTGCCTAAGCCCCCGGCCTGGCCATCCAGTGATCCTCCCTGTCCCTTGATGTCCCATGATTCTCTCACTTGGTCAGTCCCTGTCTCTTCTCCTTGCTTGCCTCTGTCTATTTCTATTCCTGTCTCTTCCTCTTTTCAGTTCTGGCCTCTCATGAGTGTGGGGTGAGTCTCCCCTTATAGGGAATCAGGCTCAGTCAGCGTCAGGTACATGCTCAGCTACCCCACTGAGGGATCTGGGATCAGTATTTCTGTGGGACTCATGCTCAGTCTCCCCTTTCCAGCCTCTGCTCTGCTCTGGCCTAGAGACCATTCCTTGTTCCCTTTACTGAGCCTGTCCTGTGATCAAGCTGTGGAGTTGGTCTCTGCAGGCCAGGGATGTGCCCTTCAGTCTGGCCCTGACTATGGGAGGTGCAGAGTGGAAGTGTGATGACCAGCTGGGTCCTCTGGACCTCTGTGCTGTGGTTCTGTCCCCCAGAGACAGCCTGGCTGAGTTGACTGACTGGGGCACCCCTGGCTGCCTGAGCAGGCCCTGGCAGAAGCTAGGCTGGTCCTGGCAGAGCTGAGCCGTTGGCCTTGTGAGGGCCTGGCTGGCTGGCTGTGTCCAGTCTACCCCTGGCTGAGGGTGCTAGGGCCTTCTGCTGCCGTGGCATCCCCACTGACCCCACAGGGCTGTGCTGGCCCCTGCCCAGGCCTCAGAGCACTGGCCATGCCTGCGTGTGTGGTGTGACTGTGCCAGAGAGGTCTCGGGTTGGGACACCTGGGCTGTGTCTGGGATGACTCAGCCGGCCCAGGGCTGTTTCTGGGGTTTCGGCAGGTGTGGGTCACTGGGAGCTTCTGCAGAAAGAGCAAAACAGGAAACACCGCATGACAGCCTTGGTGCTGCTGTGCCAGGCACACTGCCACGCTGACCTGGTGACCACATGGCCTAGTCCACCTCACACAGCCTGGACCTGGGCCAGTCCTCTGTCTGTTCCCTATCCCCGTCACTCTTGTCCGTTGTTGAAAGGAGTTGAGGGCAGTTACTGATCCTGCCTGCAGTGCCACACAGGAACATGACAGGTTCCTCGAGGTAACTTCCTAGAATAGTCAAAATCAGGATTTGGGGTGCTGGTACGATGGTTCAGTTGGCTGGTCCTCTGCCTCTACGTGCCAGTGTCCCATATGATTGCCGTTTGGTGTCTCTCCTATTCTACCTTTTTTTCAGCTCCTGCTTATTGTCTGGCCATGCAGTAGAGGATGGCCAAAGGCCTTGGCATCCTGCACCGACATTCGAGACCTGGAAGATGTTCCTGGCTCCTGGCTTCTTATCAGTTCATCTCCGTTTTTTTTTTTTTTTATTCTCCTCTCTGTAGATCTTACGTTTTCATAAAAATAAATAAATCTTAAAACAAAACAAAATAAACAAATCCCATAATCTCAGAATGGATGATTGTATGATTGTAAAGAACTCAGAGTCCAAACAGAATGCAGTAGATCCAGGCGAGTTCAGCTGTCAGACAGGAGGACTAGAGCTTAGTGACAGGACTAGAGTGAAGAGACAATGACCTGAACCTAAAGCCAGGTTAGTGCCCTGTGATCTTATCCAGGGCCAGTGACCAGGCCCAGGGCCTAGAGTCCAGGACCAAAACCAAGGGACCAGGACCAGCGCCCAGTGAAGAGAACCAAGCCCGAGTAATGAGGTCTTGGGTCTAGTGACAAGGAAGAGGCTCCATGGCGTGGGTCAGTAACCAGGATCAGGACCTAGTAACCAAGACAAGGGCCAGTGACCACTGACCAGGACTGGGCCCCTTACGTTGTCCTCGTGGTGCCTGAGGACTCCTTGGTGAAGCATTCCTGTCGGACTGGAACCTCCTGCAGGTCAGGTCAGGCCTCGCCCAGCAGGTGTGCTTCTCACGTGTCCCTGAGCAGCTGCCCAGCAGCTGCCAGTCTGCTGCACCACTGCATCCCTGGCCCATCCTCACCCAGAGTCGAGCATGTTTGTTGAGGGAGGGCTTTATTGGGGTGGGCATGGGTGAGTGGGGGCGGGTCGGCTGCTCCTGGAGGCCACACTCTGGCTATGGAGCTGCACTTGAAGGGCAACCGGCGTCCATCCTGCAAAGGCAGGATGTTCCTGCCAGCTTGATCTGCTGCCCAGTCCTGGCCACAGAAGGCAGATGTAGTGGAATCTGCAGGTCCTGCCCCTGCGGGATGCCCACGCTGAGCTCAGGCCCACTCAGTGTCTGCCAGGAGTACTCCAAGAGTCAGTCAGTCGTGACAACAGGAAATGCTATCCTCGGGTTGTGTGCACCCAGCTTTGGGCACCAACACCTGTGCCTCAGTACTGGGGTCCCTCTTTGCTGCCAGGTGTGCCCCGGATGCTGGTCACAGTGAGTGCGGTGCTGTAGAACAGGCTCAGCAGGAAGAGGGTGAGGAGGGTGATGGTGGTGGGCCACAGGCTGTCTCCGGGGGTCTCCTCCAGGCTGTCTTGATCCAGCACCACCCAGGGGATGGGTTCCCAGCCACCTGCAAGACACAGAAGGCCTGCCAGTCCTGCCCAGCCTGGGCCTTGCTGTCCCCCCCGGGTTCCACAGGGTTGCAGTAGGGGCAACTCTCAGGTGTGAAGATGTAAGGCGGGGCCTCCAGGGTGCTGGGCCCGTGTACTCAATACCTGGTTGTGCAATCACTACCTGACAGGACAGGAGCTGAGAGCATCCTGGCTGATTCACCAGAGGGGTCCCTAACACCTCGGCTGTGGCTTGTCCTCATGCTCAGGGCTGCACACTGACACTTGCTTGTGGGTGGCCGGAGGTCTGGTCTGGTCCAGCAAGGATCTGACACCCCTTGGGATTCTGAGTGTGAGAGTCAGTGTGTGATGGCTGCGTGTGTGACCTGAGGCCTCTGCTAATTTCCCAGGAAGTGTTGCCAGGTAGGCCAGAGGAGGGCCACAGCACAGGCCGAGCAGCTGGCCCAGGGTGCTAGGCGTTGCTGTCTGCCGTTACATGGGAGCTGAGCTTGTGGTCTATGGAGGTTCATCACTCATGTCTGTTTATCTGTCATTTCTCAGTCTATTTTCCATCTGTCCATCTGGCATTTCACCAGCTACAGAACTGTCCTTGGTCACCTGACCATCCTTGCATCCATCTGTGCGTGCCTGCCTCCTCTCACCCCACAGCCTGTCCATCCATCCACCTCTCAGTGCATCCATCCTCACGTCTGTCTACCTGTCCATCCGTCCTCATGTAGTCAGTCCACCCACATATCTGACCCCCATCCAGCTGTCATCCATCCATCATCCACAGCTCTCTATTTCACCATCCCTCCACTCAGCTATCCATCCATCACCTGTCCTTCCATGCACATGTCCAACCTATCACTCTTCTATTATCCATCCATTCATCAAACTGTCTGTCCATCCATCCATCCATCCATCATCCATCCGTCCATCCATCCATGCATCGTTCACTCTCTCATGATCCATCATCGCAAGTGCCTATTCTGCATGTATTAATTGTCCCTGTTCCCTCTCTTTCAAGAGTTACTTCTGTGGGTCAGTTCCTGGCCCCCACGGGATGCTGTTCACTGCTGTGGGGCACACATTCCCCTTTGGTCTGCCTCAGCCCATGTCCCTTGGTGATGGGACGTTCTGGGGACAAGTGGCTGGGGTGTGTATGGGGCTTCTCATCCCTGGGCTCTGAGAGAGGAGGCTGGCTAATCTAATTACCTTGATGAGGCCTCAGAGGTACCATGGACAATGGCAGGGTGCCAGCCTCCCCCTTTGTGGACGTCCTGGTGCCAGGTGTGTCTGCATGGGTCGTGGGACTGCTCCCCTGATGCCCTGTGGACCCTAAGCAGGGCCGAGGCCATGGAGGGTCCTGAGTGAGTGGTGTGGTCCTTGCCCTGCCACGGCCTCTGGTTTGACTCCCATTGGCAGTGGCAGGATTGAAGCTTGAAGTGTGGGGTTTTCAGGGGGCAGTGGCTATGTGGGAGTGGTTGTGGAATTGGTTGTTGAGCTGTGTATGGCTGAATATACAGGTCTGCCTTAGTGGGTCAGTAGGGGTGTGGGGAGCCCATCTGAGGGTTTGGGCAGGCAGACCCCTCACCATCCTGTAGCTGGGTATGGGCTGTGGGTGTCCTGCAGGCACTGGGCTGGGCGTGTGTGGGTGTGAGCTCATGTGAATATGTGTTCTCATGTGTATACACACAGAGCACATGGTGGTGTATGGGTGGTTGTTGTGTGTCTCTTGGGGAGTTCGTGCTGTCCTGTGTTTCTGGGGATTTCTCAGCCTGGGCAGATGCTCTGACTGGCTGGGGTTCCATGCCAGGTGCCTGTCCTCATGTGTACCTGGATGGAGCCCCTGGTTCGTTTGCCACCCCCTCCCCTTTCCACAAACCTAAGCTGGCTCTGTAAGGGCTAGTGGGCATTTTTGGCACCAGGAAGTTATTGAGGTGCCCTCTGTTTTCGGGTTGCCCTAGTCTGTGTTGGCCACAGTTGCAGATCTACCCCAGCTCAGCATGGTTTGCATGGAGGGCACACTACCACAGGGCACTGACAGAGGCTGGTTCACAAACACATTCAGCACACAGCCTCACTCCCACAGGGCACTCTCACAGGCACACCTGCATGGGCTCTCACAGGTACAACACACAGGTAACCAATACATTGTTGATACAAACCTCAGACTTGTGCATTTGCTCATAGTAACACATGTGTCCACTCACACTCCCTCACAGAGCACACACATGCCCTAGCACTTGTCGCCTCACCCTCAAGCACACATGCTCACACCAGCTCACTCACATTTCCACACTCACTCAAACTCACTCACTCACAGTCACTCTCACAGAGCACGCTGGGGGGCTTGGTGAGGTGCCTGAGGCCCCCACAAGCTCCTGGCCTGGGGTGATCTCTCCCTCCCCCACCCCTTGGCTGCAGCCCCTGAGGGAGACAGTCAGGCACAAGGACCCGCAGGGCTGCTGGGGCCAGCACACAGTTTATTCAGGGCAGGGCAGGCAGGCGGCTCAGTAGCAGACACTTTCCACGTCTGCCACGACCACAGACACATTGACGTGGGTGGGTTTACCCGACAGACGGTCGATGGTCTTCTCGGTGAAGTTCTTGGGCAGGCCCTCGTGGCCCACCACGCAGGAGAAGTTGTCCCCGTTGTTCCAATCCACGACCGAGACGCGCAGCAGGCTGGTCACGGCGAAGGTGCTGGAATTCTGGTTGGGTTCTGGCAGGGGCTTAAACACGATGAAGTCTTCCTTGGGGACCAGCTTGTGTAGGTGCAGCCAGTAGATGAGCACGTCCTTGGGGCTGAAGCCGCGCACCAGGCAGGTCAGTGTCACCAGTGCGTTCAGGGCCAGCTCTTCTGATGGTGGCGGTAGCAGGTGCACCTGGGGTGGGATGACATTCCCTGGGAGGGGACAGAGGTGTCAGGGATGTGTGCAGGACAGGACTGGGCCTCCGGGTCCCTCTGAGGATGTGTGTAGAGCCTCAGTCCAGGGCTGTAGGGAGGAGGTGGGCAGGGTAGTGGGGCAGCTGGCAGCGTCTGGGGGTGTGTGTGGTGGGCTCACCTGTGTCTTTGCTGATGGTGTCAGTCAGTGAGCCCTCTATCTCAGGGTGTTGGACAGTGCATGTGAACGTTGTGCCCTGGTTCCAGAGTTCTGCACAGCCAGGCAGCACGCTGGACACACTGTAGCAGCCGCAGGAGTCCTCCTGGGCACTAAGCAGCACAGGCGTGTTCCCCGTGTCGGGTGACCAGGTGAAGACGGCACCATCGGGGTTCTTCAGGCCTTTCAGTGTGCAGGTGATGTTGGCTTCTGAGTTGAGGAGCAGGTCTTTGATGCTTGGCCGCTGCAGGAAGATGCTGGGCTTGCAGGAGGGGCAGGGGCAAGGACATTGGGCTAATGGAGGTTGTTGCACAGAAGCAGAGAGGAAAGAGTGTGTCAGTATGCTCCTCCCATGCGTCCCTGTCCAGTCTGTCCTCCCGCCCCACTCCGTTCTGTGAGATCCAGCCCAGCAGCCCGCCCTGAGCCTCAGTGTGCCCTGCCCCACCCCCAGCTGCCCTCTGACCTTGGCAGGGAACCTCCACAATCACTTTGTAGTTGTTGTATTCCACGGTGCAGGACACACTGCTTTTCTCAGGACATCCATTAGGTATAATCAGCAGGTGGATTGAGGTGAACTGGGTGAACTCAGGGTCAGGCTGAGTCAGGACAGGTGGGAAATACGTGACGTTCCCGTTGTGGTTCCAAGTCACATTCAGAGGGCCCACAGGGAAGTAGCCCCGGATCAGGATGCCAACGACGATGATCATGACAATGTACACAGGTAGCTCAGCGGGAAGACATCGGGGCTGGCTGCAGGAGCTGGAACACAGAACCAACAGTCATTATGAAGCCTGCACCCTCCTTGAGCCCCTGAAGTCAGGGCCCTGTTGGCCTCTGCAGTGGAACCCTGGCCAGAGCGGCTAGGACGAGCCCAGGTCAAAGAGCTGTGGGGCCACACCTGGCCTGACACTGTCTGCGATACTGCCTGTGATCACTGTTTGGTGATTCCTGCCTTGATTCTCATCCCTGTGTTGCTCCAGCCTGGCTTGGTCATGGAGCCATTGCAGGCCCCGGGCTCCCAGGGTCCCTGACCCCTCTGGGTGCACAGCCAAGCCCCTCTCACGCTTGGAATCAGGACGGTTTGTGTGATGGCATGGAGTGGCCTGGAGATGGTGAAGGCCGAGGAGAGCCGAGAGCCTGACTACCTGTGTCCTTTCCTCCCATATCTGATCAGGGTCCCTGCCCACTCCAGCCTGGACCCCACACCCAGCATCCCCACCTGCCATCATCAACCATGGACATCCTCAGGCCACATGTCCTGGAGGACAGCCTAGGGCAGCTCCTGCCAGGAACCTGAATGTGGCTCTGAGATGACAGACCCCGAGATGCAGCCTAAGGAACACAGTTCAAACAACCCAGCCCAGGGAGCTCAGTCCAGCCTAGCTCAGCCCAGCCTAGCCCAACTAAGCACAGCTCAGTCCAGATTGCCCAGCCCACCTTAGCTCAGCCAATTCATCCCAGTCTGCTCAGCTCAGCCCAGACATTTCATCCTAGTTTGCCTAGATCCCACATCCAGCCTCACCACCTGCTATCACCAAGCACGGACATCCTCAGGCCACATGCCCTGGAGGACAGCCTAGGGCAGCTCCTGCCAGGAACCTGAATGTGGCTCTGAGATGACAGACAGCCTGAGATGCAGGCTGTGCCCCTAAGGAAGACAGCAGTGCCTGGCTGCCAGGGGCTCTGGGTTCCAAGTGAATTCAGCCCAGGAAGCTCAGCTGAGCCCAAGCGTAGGGTGGCCATCCCAGAGAGGCCAAAACTTTCTGCTAACTTCAGGGAGCCCAGACAGGCCTAGCCCAGCCCAGCCCAGCCCAGCCCAGCCCAGCTGAGCTTAGCTTAAGCCAACTTACTCAGACTAGATCAGATCAGGTTAGCCCAGCTCAGTCCTGCTCTGCTGTGTCCAGCCCAACTCAGCAAGCTCAGTCCTGGCCACATTATCCCAGTCCATCTGACTCAGCTCAGCCTAGCCATTCCCAGCCAAGTCCAGCTGAGCCCAGTTCAGCCCAGCTTAGATAGCTTAGCACAGGGCAGCAAAGCCCTGCACAGTTTTGGTCAACAAAGTTTAGCTTAGTTCCTCAGCCCAGCCCAACACAGGTCCACCCGCCTTGCCAAGCTCGGCTCAAGCCAACTAATTTAGCCTAGGGCTACCCTGGTTAGTCCAGCTCAGTCCTGCTCTGCTGTGTCCAGCCCTGCTCAGTCAGCTCAGTCCTGGCTACATTAGCCCACCCCAGCCAAGTCCAGCTGAATTTAGCTCAGCCAAGCCCAGCCCAGCTGAGCTCAGCCCAGTTCAAAATCAGCTCTGAACGCTCATTTCAAAGTTGATCATACAGCCTAGATGAGATACCATTAGCCCAGCTCAGCATAGTTCTTCCCAGCCCAGTTAAGCCCAGCTGAGCTTAATCCAGCTCAGTCCAGCACAATTTAGCCAAGTCTAGTGAGTCCTGTAAGTCCTACTCAGCTGAACCAACCCAGTTTAGCTCAGTTCATCCCAGCGTAGCCATTTACACCTGAACCAACCCAGCTCAGTTCAGCTCAGCTCTGTGCAGCCTAGAACAGTCCAGTCTAGCCCCTTAGCACTGCACAGCTCAGGTGAGCATAGCTAAACCCAAGTCCAGCCCAGCTTAGCTCAGCCAAACTCAGTTCAGCCAATCCAGCACTGCCAAGTTCAGTGCAGCTTAGCTCAGCTCAGCTCACCCCAGTTTTGCCAATTTTAGCTCAACCAACCAGCTCAGCACAGCACAGCCCAACCAAGCTAAGCTCTACTCAGGTTAGGGCAGCTGAGTAACCAACTCTGTTCAATCTAGCCCAGCCCAGCTCAGTCCAGCTCAGCCCAGCTCAGTCAGCCTGGCCAAGCCAGGCTGGCTGGTTCATGTCCGCTCTAGCCATCTCTGCTCAGCTATATTCTGTGTATTCTGCTCAACAATCCCCTCCTAGCCCAATCCTGTTCTGCCCATCCAAGCTCAACCTAGCACTGACCATTCAGACCTATTCTACTCAGTTAATCCCAATTCAGCTCATCTCTACCCAGAAAGGCAGTCTCAGCCCAGATCAGTCTAGCTCATCCGAACCACCCAGACCAGCCCAGCTCAGCAAAGCTCAGCCCAGTCATCTCAACTTAGCTCAGTTCTGCATGAGTCCAGCGGGACTAAGTTCAGTCCAGCTGGCTGTGGCCGTCCCTCAGTGTCCCCATGTCCTCCCCTCGTCTGTCTTAGCCCAGCCCAGGTCTCATGTCAGCCCACAGGGCTCCTGTCACTGGGGCCAGTGACTCTGCTTGTCCTAACCAAGCTCTGCTTGCTGGACTAGGCTGACCACAGAGCCCAGCTGGACCCAGCCTGCTCAGTTCGTGGCAGTGTCCTGCCTGGGGGCCTGGGTGCTGGCTGTGCTCTCTCGTCCTTCCCCTCTCTGTCCATGCCTGTTCCTCCTCCACCCCAGGATGCTCAGGACCAGTGTGCCTGAGACTCTGCATGTGCGGTGGCTGAGACCTTGGGGGACTCACCTGTCTAGGGTGCTGGAGCATCCCCCATGGTGGGGTGCAGGCTGCCTTGTGATGCTAGTCCACAATGGGGCCAGATTTTTCATTGCTGCCCTGGCTGCTGGATGCAGAGGGGCTGAGTGCAGAGGGAGCTGGGCCTGTTCAGCTCCTCGGGAAAGCTGTGCGGCTGTCCTGGCCCTTTGCCATGAGTGGGTGGGCTGGATGAGAAGTGCAGGTTGGGGAGGGGCTGCATGACTGTCTGTGGTCCCCAAGATGGGGTCACTCACCACTTCCTGCTGTGGGAGACACTGTTGCTTTCTTGCATGTCTGGTCTGTGGTCTGGCTGTGGCGGGGACAGGTGTATGGCCTGGGTCGTGCGATTCCTGAGCTGGGTGTGCTCAGGGCCCTGTGTGGCCTGGCCCAGGACTGTGCTGTGGGCTGAGATGCAGGAAAAGAGACTCCAGTAGATACCAAGGCTCAGAGAGGCTGGGGCAGGGATGGATATGTTGAGGCAGGCCAGAGGGTGGCCCCTGGGCATGGCAGGGCTGTGGTCTTCAGGAGCCTTGGAGAAGCCCTGTGGGACCACAGAGTTGGTGTCAGGGTAGGGAGAGGTTTTGTACAGTGGCTGGGGTTCCTGTAGCCTGAGCCTGGGCTGGGATGCCCCTCCCTGGTCAGCTCCACAGGTGGCCAGGAGCAATGTCTGAAGCCTCTAGAGCTTGGCCTTGGCCTTGGGCTGATTTTAAGCCTTTACTCACACCACGAGTGGGAGACTGGTTCCAGTGGTACAGCTCTATTTTGAGTTTAGAGGGGTCCTTTGCATCTTCATGTTTCTGTGCCTGTTTGCACCCTGCAGTACATAAGGACTCACCTCTTTGTCATCCTCATCCTCACCAGCAGGTGCTATTGTGTGTCTGACATTAGCCACAGTCCCTGGAGGGAGGCGATCCCTAACTCTGGTTTGTATTTACATGTTCTTGACAGCCAAACTGGTATGTGTGCCTCGTTGTTGGTGATTTTTAGGATATATTTGTTTCTATTTATGTTTTTATTTGGGAGGGCAAATATACAGAGAGCAAAAGACAGAGAGGAAGATCTTCCATCCAATGATTCACTTCCCAAGAGGCTACAACAGCTGGAGCTGTGGTGGTATGAAGCCTGGAGCCAGAAGCCTCTTCTATCTCCTACACGAGTGGAGGGTCCCAAGGCTTTGGCTTGGCTGCATTTCCAGGCCACAGGCAGGGAGCTGGATGGGATGCAGGCCTACTGGGATTAGAACCAGTGTTCATATGAGATTCTGGTGCAAGCAAGGTGAGGAATTTAGCTGGTAGTCTACCATGTTGGGCCCTCTTTTTGTTTTTAAATCATAAACTTCATTTTGCTTTTGCTGATTGCATAGTTGAGGGGGATGCATGCTCATATGGGCCACCGATTAGGGTGGGGAGGGTTGAGAAATGGGGAAAGTGCATGAGACAACTGGCTCCAATCTCCTTTTTCCTTCCTGTATCCAGGGAAATTTGGGAGAGAAGGGGAGAGGGCCATTCCCAGCAGCCCAGCCGCATCAGTGTCTGGGAATGGGGGACGGCCGCCTGACGTCATCCTAGGGTCCCCGATGTGGGGCAGGTTCTGAGGGCACTGCTCAAGTGGTTGTGATAGTTCTGAGACACTGTTGGTTTTGTTGTTCCAGGGTTGAGGAAATCCTCCAAGTTCCATTTACTGGCATAGTCTACCTTAGAGTCTGTTTGCCCAGATACTTGCTGTCACTGGGAGAGCTGTCCGATTTATTTGGCCTCCACGTACTAGATGTCCTCTGCAGGCCTCAATGAACTGCTGTCATGACCTCCATGAGCATCTGGGCATGCCATCCTCTGCACAAGGTTCAGAAATCAAGAAGACCCAGTTCTGACACATGCACTCCATGGTCAGACCACATAGGCTGTGATTTTCACCGTGGTGAAAGTTCTGAGTTCAGTGATCCCGTTGTGTGTAGGGGTGTCCTCAAAGAAACCCTGCCCAAGGTGACTCCAGACCTGACTCCTGTGAGTCAGCCAGTGTGGGTTCTGGCTCAGTCCATCACCCACATCAGCCTAAACACAGTGGTGCTGCAGTCACCTGGTCAGTTCTGTCCCCAGCCCCATCTCATATACAAACCAATAGATGCTTCACCCCAGCCCAACCCTGCCCACCACACACTCAGCCCTCACACACCCCAGCAGGAACTGTAGCCCCGTTGGAGTGATCCCAGTAACTCCCACCAGGGCCACACTCAGTGCATGCAGGTATGTGCAGCAGACTGGTCTGATCCATCCCACATCCCATTTGGTTCTCATACACACCAATGGGTGTTGGAGCCTAGCTCAGCCCAACTGACACCACCATCCAGCCCACACACAAGCTGACGGGTGCCACCAGCTGTCTAGCCGAGCCCTCTCCCAGGCCTGGTTGTCATGCTCACCAGTGGGAGCTGCAGCGTATCAGAAGGGTGCCCACAATTTCCCTGCAAGGCCTACTCCCTGTATGGGTCTTGCAGCTTTCAGGTGGTTCTATGGTCTAGCCTGCCAGGACTTGTCCCCAGTCCCAGCACCTGCCAGCTGATGCTGCAGCAAAGCCCAGCCAGCCTGCACTTACTCTGGTTCATACCTGCCCAGTGGATATGGTTACTTAGCCCAGCCTGGCTCGGGCCCTAACCGAGCTCACATGCAGGCCAATGTGCTTTGTAGCCCTGTCCAGTCTGGTCTGTCCCCAGTCCCAGCTCTCACACTCACCAGTGGAGCAACGGTCCATCAGGGGAGTCCTTGCAGCCCTACCTATTGGGCCTACCCCCTCCATCCCAGGTGTTACCTGTGTTGGTGGGTGCTGTGGCCCAGGTTGGCACAGCTGCCCTCACCTTGGCATTCAGCAGCAGGTGCAGTGGCTTGGCTCTGCCTGGTCTGCACAGTGGCATAGTTAATACATATCTGTCATTAACCAGGCCCAGAATGTGGGGGACTATTAGCTGCTTTTCTCCCTGAAGTGTGACACATGCCTAGGTACAGTATAACTTAGGCATCTGCCTGCAGGCGGGTTCTTTCTGGATACTAATCCTTGTCAGAAAGACAGTTTTCCAATGCTTTGCCCATGCTGTTGTCTGTGTCTTCCCTGTGTTGAGTGTTCCTTTGTGTGCAGAAGCATCTTAGTTTGAGGGACTCTCTGCTGTCTAGTTTAGTGTTGGTGGCCCGTGCTTTTGTAGTCTCAGCCATGCCTGCATCTGGGCGTGTTTTCCGTGTTCCCTCCTGGTGGTCTCCACGTTCAGGTGCTCTGTAGATCTTGGATCCAGTGGAGTTGTTCTTTGTATGGGATGGGAATTGTGGAATGCTGGTTCCTGTCCCGCGTGTGTGTGTGTGTGTGTGTGAGTGTGTGTGCCCGTGCTTGCTATGATGTTCCTTGAAGAGTCTGTCCTCCTGCCCGGTGGCATTGGGCATCTTTGCCAACACTCAGTGTCTGTTGGCATGTGGATTGCTTTCTGGGGTTTGAGTGCAGGGTGGTGTTAGGTAAGGTGCCAACACTCAGTGTCTGTTGGTGTGGATTTCTGTCAGGGTGCAGGGTGGCACTGGGCACATGGGCCAGTGTTTGTTGGTGTGTGTTTTTCTATCTGGTTGCGGTGTCTGCTGGAAGGACTCAGTGACTGCTCCCTTGCTGCTACCTCTTTGTTTTGATTTTGGCAGCTCTGTAGTGTGTCTTAACATTGGGTATTGCTGCGCCTGCAGCTTTGCTGCTTTGTCCCAGAATGCCTTGCTGTTGGCGGTCACTGTGCTGCCACAGGAATGTGGGGATTATCTTCTCAGAGCCGCGAAGGAAGAAGTTGTGTGTTGATGAGATTGCATTGAATCTGTCAATCTCGTTATGTAACAGGGCTACTTTCACAGCAAATTCTTCTGATCCATGAACATGGGAAGTGACTCCTCTTTTTGAGTCTTCTTCATTGTTTTCACTCGTGTCTTGTCATTTTCACTGTAGGAGTCTTTTACGTCCTGGTTAAATGTATTCCCAGGATTTTCTTGTTCTCGGTGTTGATGTTGTGAATGCCTGAACAGAGCTGGAGAGGGACATGAAGTGCAACTGGTGAAGTCAGTAATGAGACAGACACAAGATAGAGACAATGGAAACGGGGCAGGCAGAGGGCAGGCTCCTGTCTCTGCGGAGATGTGATTGCTATAGAAGGCTCGTGGCATAACCTTCTATAGAACTGTGTGGAGAGCCAAGATACAGGATTGATGTGACACAAGCTTGGTAGCACAACCCCGTTTCATGGTGCCCAGCCACTGCTTCATGATCAGGAAGCAAGAGTGTGACCCCAAAAGAGGATTGATATTGCACACAGTTTTTAGGCCTCACCTCATTTTGTGGTCCCCAGCCACTGCTTCATGATCAGGAGGTAACGGTGTGACCCTCAACAGGGGTCAGTTTGTGGCTGTTTCAAGGACACCCTAAGCACACAGTTTTGTGGCTCAGGCGCATTGCCCCAGAGTGGACCCTTGCCCACAGGGTTTGTCCTTGGTCTCTGGCCCCAGCATTCTGTGATCTTCAGGTTCTTGCGCATAGCAGGAATCAGGTCACTGGTCTGTCCCTGCTGCCTGTCTGCATGAGCTGGAAGGTGGATCAGCAGTGGAGCCAGGAATCACATCCAGGCCTGGATGTTGATTTGGGATGTGGAATATGAGCTTTAACTGGTGTCTTTCCTACTGCTTGAGCTCCTGGTCTGGCATCAAGTGATCCTCCCTGTCCCTTGAAGTCCCATGATTCTCTCACTTGGTACATTCTTCTCTTTTTATTTCCCACCACTCTGTCTCTCTTCCTGTTCCTGCCTGTTTTCCATTTGTCCACTCTGAGGTGTTGGGCAAGTCTCCCTTCCTCGGGATCAAGGCTCAGTCTCCCGTTCTAAAGTTACACATGCTCCGTTTTTCTGTGGAACTCAGGCTCAGTCTTCCTCTCCAGATGCTGCCGTGGTTTTGGACGCAGGCCATTCCTGGTGCTCTGGTCTCAGTGTGTTCTGGGCTCAGCTGGTGGTTGGTCTCTGGAGGCCAGGGATGTGCCCTTCAGTCTGGCCCTGAATATGGGGAAGGGAGGTGCAGAGTGGAAGTGTGATGACCAGCCGGGTCCTCTGGACCTCTGTGCTGTGGTTCTGTCCCCCAGAGACAGCCTGGCTGAGTTGACTGACTGGGGCACCCCTGGCTGCCTGAGCAGGCCCTGGCAGAAGCTAGGCTGGTCCTGGCAGAGCTGAGCCGTTGGCCTTGTGAGGGCCTGGCTGGCTGGCTGTGTCCAGTCTGCTCCTGACTGAGGGTGCTAGGGCCTTCTGCTGCCGTGGGGTCCCCACTGACCCCACAGGGCTGTGCTGGCCCTTGCCCAGGCCTCAGAGCACTGGCCATGCCTGCGTGTGTGGTGTGACTGTGCCAGAGAGGTCTCGGGTTGGGACACCTGGGCTGTGTCTGGGATGACTCAGCCGGCCCAGGGCTGTTTCTGGGGTTTCGGCAGGTGTGGGTCACTGGGAGCTTCTGCAGAAAGAGCAAAACAGGAAACACCGCATGACAGCCTTGGTGCTGCTGTGCCAGGCACACTGCCACGCTGACCTGGTGACCACATGGGCTAGTCCACCTCACACAGCCTGGACCTGGGCCAGTCCTTTGTCTGCTCCCTAGCCCCGTCACTCTTGTCCATTCTTGAAAGAAGTTTACGATAGAACCTGACACTCACTCCCTGTGGTGTCCAAGGAGAACATGGGAAGGCTTCCCCTATTCTGAAGGTCATGTCCCAGGAAGGTTAAAAGTCAGGAGTTGGGATGTGTGCTAAGGACTCAGAGTACAATTCTAGAAAGTTCAGAAGTGTTCTATTGCCTGACTGGAGGATCATGGCGAGTGATCAGGCCCAGGACTTATTCACGGTCCAGGCCTCAGTGACCCCGGCAGATCAGGGCTCCGTGAGCAGGCCCAGGAGCTTTGAGCAGGACCAGGGCACTACAATGCACATCAGCACGCATGACCTGGGCAGGCAGTGATGTGACCCATGTGGGGATCTGGACCCGTGTGCAGGTATGTGAGGTGAGCCTGCCCACCAGGTCCGTGGTCAGGATCCGGCTGTGGTCCGGGACCAGGGTCTGTACCTCGGACCAGAACTGAGTGATCAGATCTGGACCTGAGATGAGAACTGGAATTACAGAATGTGGAGCTGCACTTGAGGATCTGTCACCGGATTCAGTGCTGTGGACACAATTTATTGATCAGGCCCTGTGTGTTCCTGATGGGGATTCTGTGTATGCAGCGAGGGTCAGCTGTGGTCCCTGGGAACATGTGGGCAAACTCAGGGTCCAGAATTGGAAGCAGAGTCCTGTTATCAGTAATAGGGTTGAGAGATGAGGGTCACGCCCAGGGGTCAAGGCCAGGACCTGTGACCAGGGCTAGGCCAAGTGACCAGTACCATGTCTCAACGACCTTGACCAGAGTTTGAGAAGGACCAGGTCTTGTGACCAACAACAGAACAGGGCCTGGACCACTGACCAGGACTGGGTCCCTTCCATTGTCCCCGTGGTACCTGAGGACTCCCTTCCTGGTGAAGCATTCCTGTTGGACTGGAGCCTCCTGCAGGTCAGGTCAGATCTTGGCCAACAGGTGTGCCCATCCTGAGTCCCTGAGCTGGCTGGGTCAGCAGCTGCTAGTCTTTGTCCCATTTTGTCCTTGACCCATCCTCACCCAGAGTTAAGCTCGTTTGCTGAGGGAGGTGTTTATTGGTTGGGCATGGGTTGGTGGGGCGGGTTGGCTGCTCTCTGGCTGTGGAGTTGCTGTTCCAGGGCCACCTGCATCCATCCTGAAAAGACAGGAACTCTCCTGAGCGCGGTAAGTGTCTTTGTCAGCTTAGGCTGCCCAGTCCTGGCCACAGAAGAAAGATGTGCTGGTATCTGCTGGTCCTGCCCCTTTGGGATGCTCACACTGAGCCCAGGCCCACCAAGTGTCTTCCAGGCGTACTCTTCGAGGATCAGTCAGTGGTGAGAACAGTATATGCTATCATTGAAGTGTCTGCTCACAGCTTTAGGCACCAACACCTGTGCCTCAGTACTGGGGTCCCTCTTTGCTGCCAGGTGTGCCCCGGATGCTGGTCACAGTGAGTGCGGTGCTGTAGAACAGGCTCAGCAGGAAGAGGGTGAGGAGGGTGATGGTGGTGGGCCACAGGCTGTCTCCGGGGGTCTCCTCCAGGCTGTCTTGATCCAGCACCACCCAGGGGATGGGTTCCCAGTCACCTGCAAGACACAGAAGGCCTGCTAGTCTGTCCAGCCTGGGCCTCGCTGTCCCCTCCCAGATCTACAGGGGTGCTGTAGAGGTGTCTTGAGGTTTGAGGACATGAGGCAGGGCTCCCAGGGTCCTGGGGACTGCGCACTTGCATTACGTGAGGTGAGCATTGGCAGCACATGAACTGGAGTCCATCCTGGCAGCTCTACAGAAGGGGTGTCCCTGACCCCTGGGCCTGGGATAAGCCTCATGCTCAGGACTGCACACTGACACTCGCGGGTGGCCGGGCCTGGTCTGGTCCAGCGAGGACCTGACACTGGCCGGGAGGTCTGAGTGTGAGGTTCAATGTGTGAGGTCTAGCTGGGTGTGGCCCAAGGCCTCTGATGCTTTCCCAGGAAGTGTTGCCAGGTAAGCCAGGGGAGGGCCACAGCACAGGCCGAGCAGCTGGCCCAGGGTGCTAGGCATTGCTGTCTGCCGTTACATGGGAGCTGAGCCTGTGTGTCTATGGAGGTTCATCACTCATGTCTGTTTATCTGTCATTTCTCAGTCTATTTTCCATCTGTCCATCTGGCATTTCACCAGCTACAGAACTGTCCTTGGTCACCTGACCATCCTTGCATCCATCTGTGCGTGCCTGCCTCCTCTCACCCCACAGCCTGTCCATCCATCCACCTCTCAGTGCATCCATCCTCACGTCTGTCTACCTGTCCATCTGTCCTCATGTAGTCAGTCCACCCACATATCTGACCCCCATCCAGCTGTCATCCATCCATCATCCACAGCTCTCTATTTCACCATCCCTCCACTCAGCTATCCATCCATCACCTGTCCTTCCATGCACATGTCCAACCTATCACTCTTCTATTATCCATCCATTCATCAAACTGTCTGTCCATCCATCCATCCATCCATCCATCCATCATCCATCCGTCCATCCATCCATGCATCGTTCACTCTCATGATCCATTGTCACAAGTGCCTGTTCTCCATGTATTAATTGTCCCTGTTCCCTCTCTTTCAAGAGTTACTTCTGTGGGTCAGTTCCTGGCCCCCACGGGATGCTGTTCACTGTTGTGGGGCACACATTCCCCTGTGGTCTGCCTCAGCCCATGTCCCTTGGTGATGGGACGTTCTGGGGACAAGTGGCTGGGGTGTATATGGGGCTTCTCATCCCTGGGCTCTGAGAGAGGAGGCTGGGTGAGCCACACACCCTAGGGAGACTCAGAGGCACCATGGACAATGGCAGGGTGCCAGCCTCCCCCTTTGTGGACGTCCTGGTGCCAGGTGTGTCTGCATGGGTCATGGGACTGCTCCCCTGATGCCCTGTGGACCCTAAGCAGGGCCGAGGCCATGGAGGGTCCTGAGTGAGTGGTGTGGTCCTTGCCCTGCCACGGCCTCTGGTTTGACTCCCATTGGCAGTGGCAGGATTGAAGCTTGAAGTGTGGGGTTTTCAGGGGGCAGTGGCTATGTGGGAGTGGTTGTGGAATTGGTTGTTGAGCTGTGTATGGCTGAATATACAGGTCTGCCTTAGTGGGTCAGTAGGGGTGTGGGGAGCCCATCTGAGGGCTTGGGCAGGCAGACCCCTCACCATCCTGTAGCTGGGTATGGGCTGTGGGTGTCCTGCAGGCACTGGGCTGGGCGTGTGTGGGTGTGAGCCCATGTGAATATGTGTTCTCATGTGTATACACACAGAGCACATGGTGGTGTATGGGTGGTTGTTGTGTGTCTCTTGGGGAGTTCGTGCTGTCTTGTGTTTCTGGGGATTTCTCAGCCTGGGCAGATGCTCTGACTGGCTGGGGTTCCATGCCAGGTGCCTGTCCTCATGTGTACCTGGATGGAGCCCCTGGTTCGTTTGCCACCCCTTCCCTTCTCCTCAGCTGCAAGCTAAGGGCTAATGGCTGTGTTACCCAGGAAGTTATTGAGGTGCCCCCTGTGCTCAGGCACTCTCTGAGTTGTTTCTGCGTCAGCCTCAAATTCACCCAGCTCAGTATCAGGTCACATGGAAGGCACAATCTCACAGGGCACTCTGATTCACAATCTCACGAGCACACCTGCACAGGTTCTCACAGATGCACACATACACTACTGACACACCTGCACAGACACACACTCACTTGTACATTTGCTCACAGTAACACATGTGTCCACTCACACTCCCTCACAGAGCACACACATGCCCTAGCACTTGTCGCCTCACCCTCAAGCACACATGCTCACACCAGCTCACTCACATTTCCACACTCACTCAAACTCACTCACTCACAGTCACTCTCACAGAGCACGCTGGGGGGCTTGGTGAGGTGCCTGAGGCCCCCACAAGCTCCTGGCCTGGGGTGATCTCTCCCTCCCCAACACTTTGGCTGCAGCCCCTGAGGGAGACAGTCAGGCACAAGGACCCGCAGGGCTGCTGGGGCCAGCACACAGTTTATTCAGGGCAGGGCAGGCAGGCGGCTCAGTAGCAGACACTTTCTACGTCTGCCACGACCACAGACACATTGACGTGGGTGGGTTTACCCGACAGACGGTCGATGGTCTTCTCGGTGAAGTTCTTGGGCAGGCCCTCGTGGCCCACCACGCAGGAGAAGTTGTCCCCGTTGTTCCAATCCACGACCGAGACGCGCAGCAGGCTGGTCACGGCGAAGGTGCTGGAATTCTGGTTGGGTTCTGGCAGGGGCTTAAACACGATGAAGTCTTCCTTGGGGACCAGCTTGTGTAGGTGCAGCCAGTAGATGAGCACGTCCTTGGGGCTGAAGCCGCGCACCAGGCAGGTCAGTGTCACCAGTGCGTTCAGGGCCAGCTCTTCTGACGGCGGTGGCAGCAGGTGCACCTGGGGTGGGATGATGTTCCCTGGGAGGGGACAGAGGTGTCAGGGATGTGTGCAGGACAGGACTGGGCCTCCGGGTCCCTCTGAGGATGTGTGTAGAGCCTCAGTCCAGGGCTGTAGGGAGGAGGTGGGCAGGGTAGTGGGGCAGCTGGCAGCGTCTGGGGGTGTGTGTGGTGGGCTCACCTGTGTCTTTGCTGATGGTGTCATTCAGTGAGCCCTCTATCTCAGGGTGTTGGACAGTGCATGTGAACTTTGTGCCCTGGTTCCAGAGTTCTGCACAGCCAGGCAGCACGCTGGACACACTGTAGCAGCTGCAGGAGTCCTCCTGGGCACTAAGCAGCACAGGCGTGTTCCCCGTGTTCCCCGTGTCGGTTGACCAGGTGAAGACGGCACCATCGGGGTTCTTCAGGCCTTTCAGTGTGCAGGTGATGTTGGCTTCTGAGTTGAGGAGCAGGTCTTTGATGCTTGGCCGCTGCAGGAAGATGCTGGACTTGCAGTTCGTTGGGCATGGTTCGCAGGTTGTGCAGGTTGGGCATGTTGGGCATGTTGGGTATGTTGGGCAGGTACAGTCACAGTTGGCTAAAGGAGGCGAATGTACAGAAACAGAGGAATGAGTGTGTCAGTATGCTCCTCCCATGCGTCCCTGTCCAGTCTGTCCTCCCGCCCCACTCCGTTCTGTGAGATCCAGCCCAGCAGCCCGCCCTGAGCCTCAGTGTGCCGTGCCCCACCCCCAGCTGCCCTCTGACCTTGGCAGGGAACCTCTACATTCACGTTGTAGTTGTAGTTGTATTCCACGGTGCAGGACACACTGCTTTCCTCAGGACATCCATTAGCTGGTATCAGCAGGCGGATTGAGGTGAACTGGGTGAACTCAGGGTCAGGCTGAGTCAGGAAAGGTGGGAACTTAGTGATGTTCCCATTGGCGTTGCAGGTCACACTCAGAGGGCCCACGGGGAAGTAGCCCCGGATTAGAACGCCAACGACATGATATGACTGTACACAGGTACTCAGCGGGAAGACGTCGGGTTTGGCTGCAGGAGCTGGAACACAGAACCAACAGTCATTATGAAGCTGCACCCTCCTTGAGCCCCTGAAGTCAGGGCCCTGTTGGCCTCTGCAGTGGAACCCTGGCCAGAGCGGCTAGGACAAGCACAGGTCACAGAGCTGTGGGGACACCACGCCTGGCCTGTCACTGTTTGCGATCCTGCTGTCCAGTGATCCTGCCTGGCTTCTCAGCCCTGTGCTGCTCCAGCCTGGCTTGGTCATGCAGCTGTCACTGACACCAGACCCCCAGGGTCCCTGCACCCTCTTTGTGCACAGGCAGGCGCTACCTTGGCTTGTGCTCAGGATGGTGCATGTGGAGGAAAGGAACGACCTGGAGATGGTGAAGGCCGAGGAGAGCCAAGAGCCAACCTACCTGTGTCCTTTCCTCCCATATCTGATCAGGGTCCCTGCCCACTCCAGCCTGGACCCCACACCCAGCCTCCCCACCTGCCATCATCAGCCATGGACATCCTCAGGCCACATGTCCTGGAGGACAGCCTAGGGCAGCTCCTGCCAGGAACCTGAATGTGGCTCTGAGATGACAGACCCCGAGATGCAGCCTAAGGAACACAGTTCAAACAACCCAGCCCAGGGAGCTCAGTCCAGCCTAGCTCAGCCCAGCCTAGCCCAACTAAGCACAGCTCAGTCCAGATTGCCCAGCCCACCTTAGCTCAGCCAATTCATCCCAGTCTGCTCAGCTCAGCCCAGACATTTCATCCTAGTTTGCCTAGATCCCACATCCAGCCTCACCACCTGCTATCACCAAGCACGGACATCCTCAGGCCACATGCCCTGGAGGACAGCCTAGGGCAGCTCCTGCCAGGAACCTGAATGTGGCTCTGAGATGACAGACAGCCTGAGATGCAGGCTGTGCCCCTAAGGAAGACAGCAGTGCCTGGCTGCCAGGGGCTCTGGGTTCCAAGTGAATTCAGCCCAGGAAGCTCAGCTGAGCCCAAGCGTAGGGTGGCCATCCCAGAGAGGCCAAAACTTTCTGCTAACTTCAGGGAGCCCAGACAGGCCTAGCCCAGCCCAGCCCAGCCCAGCCCAGCCCAGCCCAGCTGAGCTCAGCTCAAGCCAACTCACTCAGACTAGATCAGGCCAGTTTAGCCCTGCTCAGTCCTGCTCTGCTGTGTCCAGCCCAACTCAGCAAGCTCAGTCCTGGCCACATTATCCCAGTCTAGCTGAACTCGGCTCAGCCTAGGCAATCCCCACCATGTCCAGCTGAGCCAGCTTAGCCAAGCTCAACACAACCATCTCAGCTCAGCCAGTACTGCCCACACCAGTCATGGCACCTTATGTTAGGTTAATCTAGCTCAGTTCTGCCCTGCTCTGAATGAATATTCAATGCAGATCACACAGCCTAGATCAGGTCATTTTAGCCACCCCAGCCCATTGTAGTACTTCCCAGCCCAGCTAAGTCCAGCTGAGCTCTGCCCAGCTCATTCCAGAATAACTCAGCCCAGCCTAGTGAGTCCTGTAAGTCCGACTCAGCTCAACCACCCTGTTAAGCCCGGCTCAGCTCAGCTCACCCAGCCCTGCCCATTTCAGTGCAATTTAGCTCAGCTCTGCTCATCCCAGTTTAGCTATTTATAGCTCAACCAACCTGCTCAGTGCAGCCCAGCACAGCCTATCTCTGCCCAGCACTGCTCAGCTAAGGGCAGCTGAGCAACCAACCCAGCTCAACCCAGCACAGTCCAGCACAGCCCAGCACAGCCCAGCACAGCCCAGCACAGTTCATCTCCACCCAGCATACTCAGCTAAGTGCAACTGATCAATCAACCCAGCTCAGCCCAGCCCAGTGCAGCTTAGCTCAGTTCACTCACCCCTGCCCAGCTCAGACACCTCAGCTTAGCCCAGCTTGAGTAAGCTCAGCCAGGCTCACCTTATCCCAGTTCAGTCCAACTAAGCTCTGCCTTGCCAGATGAGCTCAGCTCACCGCAGCTCAGCTCAACATAACCTTTTCCTCCTAGTCAAGTCAGCTCAACTCAGCTCAGCACAGATCTAGTCTGCTCAACAAACCCCACCTAGATCAGCCCTATTCTGCCCAGTCCAGCTCAACCTAGCTCAAACATTTCAGGCCCGTTCTACTCAGCTCATCGCAATTCAGTTCATCTCAACCCAGAACTGCAGGCTCAGCCCAGCCCAGCTCAGCTCAGTCCAGTAACCTCAACTTAGCCCAGTTCAGTCAGTCCAGCTCAAACCTATTCTGCGTAGAACAGACAGGCCCAGCCCAGCCCAGCAGAGTCAGCCCAGTTTAGCCCAGCTCAGACCAGCCAGCCCAGCTCAGGTCACCCTGTCAGTCAGCACAGCACACCTCTGTTCTGTCCAGTCAGGCTCAACACAGCTCAACCCAGCCCAATTCTGCCCATTTCAACCCAGCTTAAGCCAGTCTAGCCCAGTCCAGCTCAGCCAGCCCTATTCAACTAAGCTTATACCATTCAGACCTGTTCTACTCAGCTTGCCTGAATTCAGCTCATTTCAATCCAGAAAGGCAGTTCAGCTCAGGCCAGCGCAGCCCAGTTAAGATCAGTTCAGCACAGAAACTTAGCATAGTCCAGGTCAACTGAGCTCAGTTCAGCCATGTGAGTCCATCTGGGCTGAGCCTAGTCCAGCTGGCTGTGGCCGTCCCTCAGTGCCCCCATGTCCTCCCCTCGTCTGTCTCAGCCCAGCCCAGGTCTCATGTCAGCCCACAGGGCTCCTGTCACCGGGGCCAGTGACTCTGCTTGTCCTAACCAAGCTCTGTTTGCTGGACTAGGCTGATCACCAAGCCCAGCTGGACCCAGCCTGCTCAGTTCGTGGCAGTGTCCTGCCTGGGGGCCTGGGTGCTGGCTGTGCTCTCTCGTCCTTCCCCTCTCTGTCCAACCTGTTCTTCCTCCACCCCAGGACGCTTAGGACCAGTGTGGCTGAGACTCCCCAAATGTGGCGGCCGAGATCCTGGAGGACCCACCTCATGTGCTGGAGCATCCCCCATGGTGGGGTGCAGGCTGACTTGTGCTGTGGGTCCGTGTCAGTGTCAGACTTTTCATTGCTGCCCTGGCTGCTGGGTGCAGAGGGGTTGAGTGCAGAGGGAGCTGGGCCTGTTCAGCTCCTCGGGAAAGCTGTGCGGCTGTCCTGGCCCTTTGCCGTGAGTGGGTGGGCTGGATGAGAAGTGCAGGTTGGGGAGGGGCTGCATGACTGTCTGTGGTCCCCAAGATGGGGTCACTCACCACTTCCTGCTGTGACAGACACTGTTGCTTGCCTGCACGCGATGTCTGGTCTGTGGTCTGGCTGTGGTGGGGACAGGTGTATGTGGCCTGCGTTGTGACCCCTGGCACAATGATGGGATCAGAGCTCCGTGTGGCCTGGCCCAGGACTGTGCTGTGGGCTGAGATGCAGGGAAAGAGACTTTACTGGACACCAAGGCTCAGAGAGGCTGGGGTTAGGGATGGATGTATTGAGGAGGCCAGAGGGTGGCCCCTGGGCATGGCAGGGCCACTGTGGTCTTCAGGAGCCTTGGAGCCTTGGAGAAGCCCTGTGGGACCACAGAGTTGGTGTCAGTGTAGGGAGAAGCTTTGTGCCATGGTCTGGTGTTCCTGCAGCCTGAGACTGGGCTGGGCTGCCCCATCCTGGTGAGTCCCAGAGGTAGCTGGGGTTCCTGTCTAAAGCCCTTGCAGCTGTAGCTCAGCCTCCCTGCTCCCTGGCTAGAGCTTTCTCTCCAGGGTCTGTGTCCAGTGCCCACAGGCAGAGTGTGATGTCCAGGGTGGCCCTGTGCTCTCCGCATCCATCCCTGTGTCCTCTGTCTCTTGGATGAACCAGTGGGGCCTTGTCCCACGTTCTTTGGCAGGGGGAGTGAGTGGGCAGATGCTGCACACACCTGCCTTGGCTCCTCCAAGGGGGACTCGATGTGTTTGGATGGGGGGCCTGGAGTCTTCTTTCTGAGGGAGCCTCATCTGTGCCTTGGATGGTAGGGAGTAACCTGAAGGTGCCCTGGCTACGGATAGTCCATGGGAGAGCCTGTAGCCAAGGGGTCCTGGTTGGATGGCCCTGGTTCTGGGACCGCAGTGTCTTGCGCTGACCACAGAGAACTCTGGATGTGTGGACGATGCCTGACGTGGTCACCTTGGCCGAGTGTCTTCTTTTCCTGCAGGGATCTGCACCTGATCTAAGGGCGGGATGGCCACTGTGATGTGAGAACAGTTGGAGAGAAGAAAGAGAGAGAGAGAGACAGATGACAGCCTGGAAGGGCAAGGCTGATGTCAGAACCCGGGAACTCCATCGGGTCTCTATGTGGGTTGTGTCCTTGTGTTGTCACTGCTGCCTCCCAGGGAGGTGTTGGCAGGACACTGGGACCTGGACTGGAGCAGGATGTGATCCCAGAGCTGCCATGAGGTGTGTGGAGTTCTCGCAGCTCGCTCTCCCTGCTGTGCCATCGCCTGCCCCAGGACAAGTCAGTGTCTCAGGAGCAACAGGAACTTCCCCTGGAGCACCGAGCACAGTACTGAGATCTGAGGCCGTTCCTTTCAGCACACACAGGAACTGGAAGGCACTGAAAGGGAAGGCTGCCCTGAGGGAAGGGAAGAGGAGCAGCAGGAAGCCGGACAGTGGGCACCAGGCACAGCTCCCTGTGCTTGCTGGGCAGCCTGATGGCCTGAGGAAGCGGTCCCTCTGCCCTTAGCACCTGCTGCTTGCCCACTCAGAGTCCTCTCCCAGGTCTATGTGGCACCTTCCAGTCGGGGCCTTTGTGGGAGTTTGATGTGGACTTTTGCAAGGAAGTGTCGCGAGAACTATGACCTGGAGACCTTGAGGAATGCTGGGGACATGTAGAGGGAGTGTGCCCCTGTGTGGGAACAGCAGACAGAGAGTGAGAGATCACAGCAGACAGAAGTGTAGGATGATAGCAGGAGTCTTTCTTGGCCTAGCTTGTCGGCAGCAGCTCCCACTACGCTCCAGGAGCCACTGCACTGGGCTGCCCAGGTCAAGCTTTGTTCAGCTCTCATCCTCCAATCAGATTGAAAGGCGAGCAGTACAGGTTCCACACAGTCAGTTACCTAAGTGGCAGGAGGCTGGATGGGAGTGGCCAGAGCCCAGTGTTTCCATGCAGTTCATTAACTGAAGTGGGTGCAGTGTGAGGCAGGAGGGGTCAGGTGCCCGGAGCCTCTGGAGCCAGTTTCCTCAGATGTGTCTAACTTGAGTGGCCCGGGCGGTGGGCAGGGCAGGGGGCCTCCTTTCCTGCACTGTCCTTGCTGTCTAACCTGCAAATGGGAGCTAGCTATCAAGTGGAGCACCCCTATCACAGAGGGAGGTGCTGAGTGACTGGTGAGGTGGTCTTGGGCTGGGAGCAACTCCAAGGGTCAAAGCCTGCACCGATGGTATGCCTGGTTGGTGGATGTGGTATGTCTATGTGTCTGAACCTCTTTAGGATGGGGCGCCACAGCAAGGTGTCGAAGTGTGGTGGGTGGGTGGTCTGGGGCAGACCTGATTCCCTCTGGTGGTTGTCTCCTGTGGGTGGGAACAGGCTGTTTTCCATCAGTTGTCCTGTGTATCCATCCTTCTGTCTTGTATCCTGGCTGAGTGGCAAGCCCTCTTTCCTGCTGCTGTGGCAGGCCCAGCCATGAGTAAACCATCACCCTTTGCCTGCCTGAGGCAGACTCACCTCCTCTGAATCCATGCTTGTAATGGAATCATGACTCATGGGGCCTTGGCCGTGTTCCCTGCTGCTGGGCCATCTTGCATTCCTGTCTACAATGTGCCAGGGGTGGCTTTTATCCACGGCCTGCTCTCATGTCCTTAGCAAGTGATGGGTTGTTCTGGCCGTGAACTCCTGTCTGTGTCTGTGGGGTCTCCTCAGGTTGGCTTGCCAGCCCCTTGGGAGCTGGCCTTGTCTGGCAGGTGGAGAAGCAGTTCTGGAGGCGAGCTGCCCACATAGCTCCTCCATGTAGGGAACCTTCCAGGGACCAAGACTGCCCTCATGAGCCTGGCAGAGCCAGCTCGGGGTGTGAGGCTTGCGTGAGGAGGGGTGGGGGTACCCAGTGCAGGTCCCCAGGCCACGGACCGGGGAGCTGAAGGCACGGCAGGACAAAGGCTGGGAAAACCTGGCGGTTCTGTTTTCTAGCTTGTAGACAGCTTGGAGGCTGTTCCCAGGGTAGCTCAGCTGTCCAGTTCTGTCAGCAGGGTCAGGGTTCCTGCCTCTGAATCTTGCTCTACTACGGCATTAAGGGGCAGGTGTGTGGTGGGGGCTCATGGTGGCCAGCTGCTGTCCTGCGGGCCTCCGTCCCACGTGTTCTTGCTCTGTTCCTCTGCCTGGTGGACGCCTGGTTGATCCCATGTCTGGGCTGTCCTGAATCCTGCTGCTGTGAGCCTGGGCGCAGGGCTGTGTTCTCAGGCTCATTTTAACCCTTCATGTTCTCACCATGAGAGGGGTGCTGGGTCCAGTGGAGCAGCTCTATTTCCAGTTTAAAGGGGCCCCTTGCTCTTCTTCATGTTTCTGTGCCTGTTTGCACCCTGCAGTGCATAAGGACTCACCCCTTCGTCATCCTCATCCTCACCAGCAGGTGCTATTGTGTGTCTGACACTAGCCACAGTCCCTGGAGGGAGGCGATCCCTAACTCTGGTTTGTATTTACATGTTCTTGACAGCTAAACTGGTATGTGTGCCTCTTTGTTGGTGTTTTTCTAAAATTTTTTTTTCACATTTATGTATTTATTTATTTGGGAGGGCAAATATACAGAGAGCAAGAGACAGAGGAAGATCTTCCATCCAATGATTCACTTCCCATGAGGCTACTACAGCTGTAGCTATGGTGGTACGAAGCCTGAAGCCAGGAGCCTCTTCTGTTCTCCCACGCGGGTGCAGGGTGCCAAGGCTTTGGATCATCTTAGCTGCATTCCCAGGCCACAGGCAGGGAGCTGGATGGGTAGCGGGCCTACTGGGATTAGAACCAGTGTTTTATGGGATTCTGGTGCATGCAAGGTGAGGAATTTAGCTGGTAGTCTACCATGTTGGGCCCTCTTTTTGTTTTTAAATCATAAACTTCATTTTGCTTTTGCTGATTGCATAGTTGAGAGGGATGCATACCCATAGGGGCCACCGATTAGGGTGGGGAGGGTTGAGAAATGGGAAAGTGCATGAGACAACTGGCTCCAATCTCCTTTTTTCTTCCTGTATCCTGGGAAATTTGGGAGAGAAGGGGAGAGGGCCATTCCCAGCAGCCCAGCCGCATCAGTGTCTGGGAATGGGGGACGGCCGCCTGACGTCATCCTAGGGTCCCCGATGTGGGGCAGGTTCTGAGGGCACTGCTCAAGTGGTTGTGATAGTTCTGAGATGCTGTTGGCTTTGTTGTTCCAGGGTTGAGGAAATCCTCCAAGTTCCATTACTGGCTTAGTCTACCTTAGAGTCTGTTTGCCCAGATACTTGCTGTCACTGGGAGAGCTGTCCGATTTATTTGGCCTCCACGTACTAGATGTCCTCTGCAGGCCTCAATGAACTGCTGTCATGACCTCCATGAACATCTGGGCATGCCATCCTCTGCACAAGGTTCAGAAATCAAGAAGACCCAGTTCTGACACATGCACTCCATGGTCAGACCACATAGGCTGTGATTTTCACCGTGGTGAAAGTTCTGAGTTCAGTGATCCTGTTGTGTGTAAGGGTGTCCTCAAAGAAACCCTGCCCGAGGTGACTCCAGACCTGACTCCTGTGAGTCAGCCAGTGTGGGTTCTGGCTCAGTCCATCACCCACATCAGCCTAAACACAGTGGTGCTGCAGTCACCTGGTCAGTTCTGTCCCCAGCCCCATCTCATATACAAACCAATAGATGCTTCACCCCAGCCCAACCCTGCCCACCACACACTCAGCCCTCACACACCCCAGCAGGAACTGTAGCCCCGTTGGAGTGATCCCAGTAACTCCCACCAGGGCCACACTCAGTGCATGCAGGTATGTGCAGCAGACTGGTCTGATCCATCCCACATCCCATTTGGTTCTCATACACACCAATGGGTGTTGGAGCCTAGCTCAGCCCAACTGACACCACCATCCAGCCCACACACAAGCTGACGGGTGCTACCAGCTGTCTAGCCGAGCCCTCTCCCAGGCCTGGTTGTCATGCTCACCAGTGGGAGCTGCAGCGTATCAGAAGGGTGCCTGCAATTTTCCTGCAAGGCCTACTCCCTGTATGGGTCTTGCAGCTTTCAGGTGGTTCTATGGTCTAGCCTGCCAGGACTTGTCCCCAGTCCCAGCACCTGCCAGCTGATGCTGCAGCAAAGCCCAGCCAGCCTGCACTTACTCTGGTTCATACCTGCCCAGTGGATATGGTTACTTAGCCCAGCCTGGCTCGGGCCCTAACCCAGCTCACATGCAGGCCAATGGGCTTTGTAGCCCTGTCCAGTCTGGTCTGTCCTCAGTCCCAGCTCTCACACTCACCAGTGGAGCAATGGTCCATCAGGGGAGTCCTTGCAGCCCTACCTATTGGGCCTACCCCCTCCATCCCAGGTGTTACCTGTGTTGGTGGGTGCTGTGGCCCAGGTTGGCACAGCTGCCCTTACCTTGGCATTCAGCAGCAGGTGCAGTGGCTTGGCTCTGCCTGGTCTGCACAGTGGCATAGTTAATACATATCTGTCATTAACCAGGCCCAGAATGTGGGGGACTATTAGCTGCTTTTCTCCCTGAAGTGTGACACATGCCTAGGTACAGTATAACTTAGGCATCTGCCTGCAGGCGGGTTCTTTCTGGATACTAATCCTTGTCAGAAAGACAGTTTTCCAATGCTTTGCCCTGCTGTTGTCTGTGTCTTCCCTGTGTTGAGTGTTCCTTTGTGTGCAGAAGCATCTTAGTTTGAGGGACTCTCTGCTGTCTAGTTTAGTGTTGGTGGCCCGTGCTTTTGTAGTCTCAGCCATGCCTGCATCTGGACGTGTTTTTCGTGTTCCCTCCTGGTGGTCTCCACGTTCAGGTGCTCTGTAGATCTTGGATCCAGTGGAGTTGTTCTTTGTATGGGATGGGAATTGTGGAATGCTGGTTCCTGTCCCGCGTGCGTGTGTGTGTGTGTGAGTGTGTGTGCCCGTGCTTGCTATGATGTTCCTTGAAGGGTCTGTCCTCCTGCCCGGTGGCATTGGGCATCTGTGCCAACACTCAGTGTCTGTTGGCATGTGGATTGCTTTCTGGGGTTTGAGTGCAGGGTGGTGTTAGGTACGGTGCCAACACTCAGTGTCTGTTGGTGTGGATTTCTGTCAGGGTGCAGGGTGGCACTGGGCACATGGGCCAGTGTTTGTTGGTGTGTGTTTTTCTATCTGGTTGCGGTGTCTGCTGGAAGGACTCAGTGACTGCTCCCTTGCTGCTACCTCTTTGTTTTGATTTTGGCAGCTCTGTAGTTTGTCTTAACATTGGGTATTGCTGCGCCTGCAGCTTTGCTGCTTTGTCCCAGAATGCCTTGCTGTTGGCGGTCACTGTGCTGCCACAGGAATGTGGGGATTATCTTCTCAGAGCCGCGAAGGAAGAAGTTGTGTGTTGATGAGATTGCATTGAATCTGTCAGTCTCGTTATGTAACAGGGCTACTTTCACAGCAAATTCTTCTGATCCATGAACATGGGAAGTGACTCCTCTTTTTGAGTCTTCTTCATTGTTTTCACTCGTGTCTTGTCATTTTCACTGTAGGAGTCTTTTACGTCCTGGTTAAATGTATTCCCAGGATTTTCTTGTTCTCGGTGTTGATGTTGTGAATGCCTGAACAGAGCTGGAGAGGGACGTGAAGTGCAACTGGTGAAGTCAGTAATGAGACAGACACAAGATAGAGACAATGGAAACGGGGCAGGCAGAGGGCAGGCTCCTGTCTCTGCGGAGATGTGATTGCTATAGAAGGCTCGTGGCATAACCTTCTATAGAACTGTGTGGAGAGCCAAGATACAGGATTGATGTGGCACAAGCTTGGTAGCACAACCCCGTTTCATGGTGCCCAGCCACTGCTTCATGATCAGGAAGCAAGAGTGTGACCCCAAAAGAGGATTGATATTGCACACAGTTTTTAGGCCTCACCTCATTTTGTGGTCCCCAGCCACTGCTTCATGATCAGGAGGTAACGGTGTGACCCTCAACAGGGGTCAGTTTGTGGCTGTTTCAAGGACACCCTAAGCACACAGTTTTGTGGCTCAGGCGCATGGCCCCAGAGTGGACCCTTGCCCACAGGGTTTGTCCTTGGTCTCTGGCCCGAGCATTCTGTGATCTTCAGGTTCTTGTGCATAGCAGGAATCAGGTCACTGGTCTGTCCCTGCTGCCTGTCTGCATGAGCTGGAAGGTGGATCAGCAGTGGAGCCAGGAATCACATCCAGGCCTGGATGTCGATGTGGGATGTGGAATATGAGCTTTAACTGGTGTCTTTCCTACTGCTTGAGCTCCTGGTCTGGCATCAAGTGATCCTCCCTGTCCCTTGATGTCCCATGATTCTCTCACTTGGTACATTCTTCTCTTTTTGTTTCCCACCACTCTGTCTCTCTTTCTGTTTCTGCCCCATTCCATTTGCCCACTCTGAGGTGTTGGGCAAGTCTCCCTTCCTCGGGATCAAGGCTCAGTCTCCCTCTTCAGACGCTGCCGTGGTTTTGGACGCAGGCCATTCCTGGTGCTCTGGTCTCAGGTTGTCCTGGTTCAGCCCATGGAGTTGGTCTCTGGAGGCCAGTGCTGAGCCCTTCATTCTGGCCCTGACTGTGGGGAAGGGAGGTGCAGAGTGGAAGTGTGATGACCAGCTGGGTCCTCTGGACCTCTGTGCTGTGGTTCTGTCCCCCAGAGACAGCCTGGCTGAGTTGACTGACTGGGGCACCCCTGGCTGCCTGAGCAGGCCCTGGCAGAAGCTAGGCTGGTCCTGGCAGAGCTGAGCCGTTGGCCTTGTGAGGTCCTGGCTGGCTGGCTGTGTCCAGTCTGCTCCTGACTGAGGGTGCTAGGGCCTTCTGCTGCCGTGGCGTCCCCACTGACCCCACAGGGCTGTGCTGGCCCCTGCCCAGGCCTCAGAGCACTGGCCATGCCTGCGTGTGTGGTGTGACTGTGCCAGAGAGGTCTCGGGTTGGGACACCTGGGCTGTGTCTGGGATGACTCAGCCGGCCCAGGGCTGTTTCTGGGGTTTCGGCAGGTGTGGGTCACTGGGAGCTTCTGCAGAAAGAGCAAAACAGGAAACACCGCATGACAGCCTTGGTGCTGCTGTGCCAGGCACACTGCCGCCCTGACCTGGTGACCACATGGTCTAGTCCACCTTACACAGCCTGGTTCTGGGCCAGTCCCTTCTCAACTCTCTAGTTCTCTGTGCCATTCTTTTTTTTTTTTTTTTTTTTAAGATTTATTTCATTTTTATTGGAAAGGCAGATATACAGAGAGGAGAGACAGAGAGGAAGATGTTCCGTGCGATGATTCACTCCCCAAGTGAAAGCAATGGTCGATGCTATGCCAGTCCGAAGTCAGGAGCCTCTTCCGGGTCTCCCACGCGGGTGCAGGGTCCCAAAGCTTTGGACTGTCGTTGACTGCTTTCCCGGGCCACAGTCAGGGAACTGGATGGGAAGCGAGGCTGCCGGTATTAGAACTGGCGCCCATATGGGATCCCAGGAGTGCGAGGCGAGGACCTTAACCACTGCGTCATCACGCCGGGCCCCTCTGTTCCATTCTTGAAAGGAGTTGAGGGCAGATCTGACCCTCCTTTTGTTGCCCACAGGAACATGGGAAGACTTCCTCCCTTAGGTCACATCCTAGGGAGGTTAAAAGTCAGGAGTTGGGATGTGTGCTAAGGACTCAGAGTATAATTCTAGAAAGTTCAGAAGTGTTCTATTGTCTGACAGGAGGATCATGGCCAGTGAGCAGGCCCAGGACTTATTCACGGTCCAGGCCTCAGTGACCTTGGCAGATCAGGGCTCCGTGAGCAGGCCCAGGAGCTTTGAGCAGGACCAGGGCACTACAATGCACATCAGCACGCATGACCTGGGCAGGCAGTGATGTGACCCACGTGGGGATCTGGACCCGTGTGCAGGTATGTGAGGTGAGCTCAGCCTACCCTCCAGGTCCGTGGTCAGGATCCGGCTGTGGTCCGGGACCAGGGTCTGTACCTCGGACCAGAACTGAGTGATCAGATCTGGACCTGAGATGAGAACTGGAATTATAGAATGTGGAGCTGCACTCGAGGATCTGCCACCAGATTCAGTGCTGTGGACACAATTTATTGATCAGACCCTGTGTGTTCCTGATGGGGATTCTGTGTATGCAGCGAGGGTCAGCTGTGGTCTCTGGGAACATGTGGGCAAACTCAGGGTCCAGAATTGGAAGCAGAGTCCTGTTATCAGTAATAGGGCTGAGAGATGAGGGTCACGCCCAGGGGTCAAGGCCAGGACCTGTGACCAGGGCTGGGCCAAGTGACCAGTACCATGTCCCAGTGACCTTGACCAGAGTTTGAGCAGGACCAGGTCTTGTGACCAGCAACAAGAACCAGAGTAGCACAAGTGACCAGGACCTGTGTCCATCACCAGGAGCAGCACCCAGGGCATAGTGGTGATGAATATGGTTTAGTGACCAGAACTAGAGCCTAGTGTGAGGGCCTGGCCAGCCACAGAACAGTGCCTCTACAACTGACCAGGACTGGGTCCCTTCTACTGTCCCTGTGGTGCCTGAGGACTCCCTTCCTGGTGAATCATTCCTGTTGGACTGGAGCCTCCTGCAGGTCAGGTCAGGTCTTGGCCAACAGGTGTGCCCATCCTGAGTCCCTAGCTGGCCTGGTCAACTGCTGCCAATCTGATGTCCCATTTTGTCCTTGACCCATCCTCACCCAGAGTTAAGCTGGTTTGCTGAGGGAGGTGTTTATTGGTTGTGCATGGGTTGGTGAGGTGGGTTGGCTGCTCTCTGGCTGTGGCCACCTGCATCCATCCTGAAAAGACAGGAACTATCCTGTGCGCAGGAAGTGTCCTTTGCAGCTTAGGCTGCCCAGTCCTGGCTACAGAAGAAAGATGTGCTGGAATCTGCAGATCCTGCCACTGCGGGATGCTCATGCTGAGCCCAGGACCACAAAGTGTCTTCCAGGAGTACTCTTCGAGGGTCTGTCAGTGGTGACAACAGTACACGCTGCCCTTGGGAGTGTGTACACACCACAGCTTTGGGCACCAACACCTGTGCCTCAGTACTGGGGTCCCTCTTTGCTGCCAGGTGTGCCCCGGATGCTGGTCATGGTGAGCGCAGTGCTGTAGAACAGGCTCAGCAGGAAGAGGGTGAGGAGGGTGATGGTGGTAGGCCACAGGCTGTCTCCGGGAGCCTCCTCCAGGCTGTCTTGATCCAGCATCACCCAGGGGATGGGTTCCCAGTCACCTGCAAGACACAGAAGGCCTGCCAGTCCTGCCCAGCCTGGGCCTTGCTGTCCCCTCCCAGATCTACAGGGGTGCTGTAGAGGTGCCTTCAGGTGTGAGGACATGAGGCAGGGCTCCCAGGGTCCTGGGGGCAGCACCCTTGCATGGAGTGATGTGGGCACTTGGCAGCATGTGAACTGGAGTCCATGCTGGCAGCTCTACAGAAGGGGCGCCCCTGACCCCTGGGCCTGGGATAAGCCTCATGCTCAGGGCTGCACATTGACATTTGTTGGTGGCCGGGCCTGGTCTGGTCCAGCAAGGACCTGACACTGGCCAGGAGGTTTGAGTGTGAGGCACAGTGTTTGAGGTCTAGCTGGGTGTGGCCTGAGGCCTCTGATGCTTTCCCAGGGAGTGTTGCCAGGTAGGCCAGGGGAGGGCCACAGCACAGGCCGAGCAGCTGGCCCAGGGTGCTAGGCATTGCTGTCTGCCATTACATGGGAGCTGAGCTGTGTGTCTATGGAGGTTCATCACTCATGTCTGTTTATCTGTCATTTCTCAGTCTATTTTCCATCTGTCCATCTGGCATTTCACCAGCTACAGAACTGTCCTTGGTCACCTGACCATCCTTGCATCCATCTGTGCGTGCCTGCCTCCTCTCACCCCACAGCCTGTCCATCCATCCACCTCTCAGTGCATCCATCCTCACGTCTGTCTACCTGTCCATCCGTCCTCATGTAGTCAGTCCACCCACATATCTGACCCCCATCCAGCTGTCATCCATCCATCATCCACAGCTCTCTATTTCACCATCCCTCCACTCAGCTATCCATCCATCACCTGTCCTTCCATGCACATGTCCAACCTATCACTCTTCTATTATCCATTCATCCATCCATCCATCCATCCATCATCCATCCATCCATCCATCCATCGTTCTCTCTCTCATGATCCATCGTCGTAAGTGCCTGTTCTGCATGTATTAATTGTCCCTGTTCCCTCCCTTTCAAGAGTTACTTCTGTGGGTCAGTTCCTGGCCCCCACGGGATGCTGTTCACTGTTGTGGGGCACACATTCCCCTGTGGTCTGTCTCAGCCCTTGTCCCTTGGTGATGGGACGTTCTGGGGACAAGTGGCTGGGGTGTATATGGGGCTTCTCGTCCCTGGGCTCTGAGAGAGGAGGCTGAGTGAGCCACACACCCTGGGGAGACTCAGAGGCATCAGGGACAAGGGCAGCGTGCCTGCCTCCCCCTTGTGGAAGCCCTGGTGCCAGGTGTGCCTGCATGGGTCGTGGGACTGCTCCCCTGATGTCCTGTGGACCCTAAGCAGGGCCGAGGCCATGGAGGGTCCTGAGTGAGTGGTGTGGCCCCTTGCCCTGCCACGGCCTCTGGTTTGACTCCCATTGGCAGTGGCAGGATTGGAGCTTGAAGTGTGGGGACTTTCAGGGGGCAGTGGCTATGTGGGAGTGGTTGTGGAATTGGTTGTTGAGCTGTGTATGGCTGAATATACAGGTCTGCCTTAGTGGGTCAGTAGGGGTGTGAGGAGCCCATCTGAGGGCTTGAGCAGGCAGACCCCTCACCATCCTGTAGCTGGGTATGGGCTGTGGGTGTCCTGCAGGCACTGGGCTGGGCGTGTGTGGGTGTGAGCTCATGTGAATATGTGTTCTCCTGTGTATACACACAGAGCACATGGTGGTGTATGGGTGGTTGTTGTGTGTCTCTTGGGGAGTTCGTGCTGTCCTGTGTTTCTGGGGATTTCTCAGCCTGGGCAGATGCTCTGACTGGCTGGGGTTCCATGCCAGGTGCCTGTCCTCATGTGAACCTGGATTGAGCCCCTGGTTCCTTTTCTACCCCCTCCCCTCTCCTCAGCTGCAAGCTAAGGGCTAATGGCTGTGTTACCCAGGAAGTGATTTAGGTGGCCCCTGTGCTCAGGCACTCTCTGAGTTGTTTCTGCGTCAGCCTCAAATTCACCCAGCTCAGTATCAGGTCACATGGAAGGCACAATCTCACAGGGCACTCTGATTCACAATCTCACGAGCACACCTGCACAGGTTCTCACAGATGCACACATACACTACTGACACACCTGCACAGACACACACTCACTTGTACATTTGCTCACAGTAACACATGTGTCCACTCACACTCCCTCACAGAGCACACACATGCCCTAGCACTTACTTGTCACCTCACCCTCAAGCACACATGCTCACACCAGCTCACTCACATTTCCACACTCACTCAAACTCACTCACTCACAGTCACTCTCACAGAGCACGCTGGGGGGCTTGGTGAGGTGCCTGAGGCCCCCACAAGCTCCTGGCCTGGGGTGATCTCTCCCTCCCCAACACTTTGGCTGCAGCCCCTGAGGGAGACAGTCAGGCACAAGGACCCGCAGGGCTGCTGGGGCCAGCACACAGTTTATTCAGGGCAGGGCAGGCAGGCGGCTCAGTAGCAGACACTTTCCACGTCTGCCACGACCACAGACACATTGACGTGGGTGGGTTTACCCGACAGACGGTCGATGGTCTTCTCGGTGAAGTTCTTGGGCAGGCCCTCGTGGCCCACCACGCAGGAGAAGTTGTCCCCGTTGTTCCAATCCACGACCGAGACGCGCAGCAGGCTGGTCACGGCGAAGGTGCTGGAATTCTGGTTGGGTTCTGGCAGGGGCTTAAACACGATGAAGTCTTCCTTGGGGACCAGCTTGTGTAGGTGCAGCCAGTAGATGAGCACGTCCTTGGGGCTGAAGCCGCGCACCAGGCAGGTCAGTGTCACCAGTGCGTTCAGGGCCAGCTCTTCTGACGGCGGTGGCAGCAGGTGCACCTGGGGTGGGATGATGTTCCCTGGGAGGGGACAGAGGTGTCAGGGATGTGTGCAGGACAGGACTGGGCCTCCGGGTCCCTCTGAGGATGTGTGTAGAGCCTCAGTCCAGGGCTGTAGGGAGGAGGTGGGCAGGGTAGTGGGGCAGCTGGCAGCGTCTGGGGGTGTGTGTGGTGGGCTCACCTGTGTCTTTGCTGATGGTGTCAGTCAGTGAGCCCTCTATCTCAGGGTGTTGGACAGTGCATGTGAACTTTGTGCCCTGGTTCCAGAGTTCTGCACAGCCAGGCAGCACACTGGACACACTGTAGCAGCCGCAGGAGTCCTCCTGGGCACTAAGCAGCACAGGCGTGTTCCCCGTGTTCCCCGTGTCGGTTGACCAGGTGAAGACGGCACCATCGGGGTTCTTCAGGCCTTTCAGTGTGCAGGTGATGTTGGCTTCTGAGTTAAGGAGCAGGTCTTTGATGCTTGGCCGCTGCAGGAAGATGCTGGGCTTGCAGTTCGTTGGGCATGGTTCGCAGGTTGTGCAGGTTGGACATGTTGGGCAGGGTTCGCAGGTTGGGCTTGTTTGGCTGGGATCGGGGATGATATCATAACAGTCACAGTTGGCTAAAGGAGGTGAATGTGCAGAAACAGAGAGGAATGAGTGTGTCAGTATGCTCCTCCCATGCGTCCCTGTCCAGTCTGTCCTCCCGCCCCACTCCGTTCTGTGAGATCCAGCCCAGCAGCCCGCCCTGAGCCTCAGTGTGCCCCGCCCACCCCCAGTTGCCTCTGACCTTGGCAGAGAACCTCCACAATCACTTTGTAGTTGTTGTATTCCACGGTGCAGGACACACTGCTTTCCTCAGGACATCCATTAGCTGGTATCAGCAGGCGGATTGAGGTGAACTGGGTGAACTCAGGGTCAGGCTGAGTCAGGAAAGGTGGGAACTTAGTGATGTTCCCATTGGCGTTGCAGGTCACACTCAGAGGGCCCACGGGGAAGTAGCCCCGGATTAGAACGCCAACGACATGATATGACTGTACACAGGTACTCAGCGGGAAGACATCGGGGTTGGCTGCAGGAGCTGGAACACAGAACCAACAGTCATTATGAAGCTGCACCCTCCTTGAGCCCCTGAAGTCAGGGCCCTGTTGGCCTCTGCAGTGGAACCCTGGCCAGAGCGGCTAGGACGAGCCCAGGTCACAGAGCTGTGGGGCCACACCTGGCCTGGCACCGTCTGCTATCCTGCTGTTTAGTGATTCCTGCCTGGCTTCTCAGCCTTGTGCTGCTCCAGCCTGGTTTGGTCATGCAGCTGTCACTGACACCAGACCCCCAGGGTCCCTGCACCCTCTTGGTGCACAGGCAGGTGTCTCCTTGGCTTGTGCTCAGGATGGTGTATGTGGAGGAATGGAACGGCCTGGACATGGTGAAGGCCGAGGAGAGCCGAGAGCCAACCTACCTGTGTCCTTTCCTCCCATATCTGATCAGGGTCCCTGCCCACTCCAGCCTGGACCCCACACCCAGCCTCCCCACCTGCCATCATCAGCCATGGACATCCTCAGGCCACATGTCCTGGAGGACAGCCTAGGGCAGCTCCTGCCAGGAACCTGAATGTGGCTCTGAGATGACAGACGGGGCCTGAGATGCAAGCTGCGCCCCTAGGGAACACAGCAGTGCCTGGCTGCCAGGGGTTCTGGGTTCTAGCTGAATTCAGCCCAGGAAGCTTAGCTGAGCCCAAATCTAGGGTGGCCATTTCACAGAGGGCAGAACGTTCAGCTCACCTCAGGCAGCCCAGCCCAGCCTAGCTCAGTTCTGCTGAGACATGCTCAGCTTAGTTGTACAATTTCTGTTTAGTGCAGCCCAGCCAGTCCCGCCTTGCATAACATAGCAGAGGATTCTACCTGTCCCTAGTTTTGCTCAGCCCTTTAAGCCCAGTTAGTCCCAGCTCAGTCCAGCACACCTCAGCCCCACTTAGCTCAGGTTAGTCTAGCACAGTTAGTCTAGCCCAGTCAGTCCAAAAACCTATGCCTAAGCCAGTTCAGTTCATCCCCACTCAGCCCATACCAGCCAAGATCACCATAGTTCAGCTATCAGTGCTAAATTCAGCCTAGTTCAGCCCATAATAGCCCATCCCATCCCATCCCATCCCATCCCATCCCATCTCAGCCCAGTTTAGCTCCACTCAGGTTTATTGTGCTCAGCTCAGCCCATCTCAGACCAGCCCAGCTCTACCTAACTTATTCAGATCAGCCTCATCCAGCAAGGCCCTGTCCAGCTAAGTACAAGTATGCCAAGCTGAATCCTGCTCAGTCAGTACTGCTTAGCTCAGCCCAGCCTAGCCCAGTGCAGCTCAGCTTTGCTTAACACTGCCCAGCTCAGCCCAGCCCAGCCCAGCCCAGCCCAATTCAGCCCAGCTCAGACCAGCCAAGCCCAGCTCAGACCAGCTCAGCCCCACCTGACTGTCTCAGATTAGCTCTGCGCAGCTAAGCCCAGATCTGCCAAGCTGAGCTTAGCCCTTTTCATTCAGCCCAGCTTTGCCCAGCTAAGACCAGCCCAGCTCAGCCCAGCTCAACCCAACTAGCTCAGGTCAACCTTGCCCAGCTAAGTCTGGCTTTGTCAAGCTGAGCCCAGTAGTTGGTACTGCCCAGCTAAGCCCAACTCGGTCCCACCCAGGTCAGCCTAGCTCAGCCCAAATAGCTCAGCTTAGCCCTGCAAAGCTAGGCTCAGCCCAGTTCAGGCCAGTTCAGCCCAGCTCAGCATAGTGCAGATCATCCAATGCAGGCCAGCTCATCCTATCTCAGCCCAGCTCACTGAGCTCAGCTAAACTCAGCTCGGATAAACCTAGCACTACTCAACGCTGGCCAGCACAGTTAGTATAGCCCAGCTCAGCCCTGCTCAGCTAATCCAAGCTCTGTCAAGTTCAGCCCAGCACAGTCAGAATTTTCTAGTTCAACTCAGCCCTGCTCAGCTAATCCCTGCTTTGTTAAGCTGAGCCCAGCACAGTAAGCACCGTTTAGCATAGCCCAGCCATGTCTAGCCCAGCCTAGTCCAACTCAACCCAGCTCAATCAGCCCAGCTCAGCTCAGCCTAGGCAATCTCAGCTCAACTCAGCTTAGTTTTCCCAATTCATCCAGCCCAGCTCAGCCAGTTTATCCCAGTCTGCCAAGCCCAGTCCAGCCAAGCACAGCACAGTTCAGCTTAGTTCAGCTCAGCCCAGCTCAGCCCAGCTCAGCTCAGCCCAGCCAGTTCAGCCCAGCCAGTTCAGCCCAGCCCAACTCAGCCCAGACCAGCTCAGCTCAGCTCAGCTGAGCCCAGGAGGCATAGCCCAGCTCAGCCTAGCTCAGCTTAGCTCAGCCCAGCTCAGCCCAGCCCAGCTCAGCCCAGCTCAGCTTAGCTCAGCTCAGCTCAGCCCAGCCCAACTCACCCAGCTGAGCCCAGCTCAGCTCAGCTCAGTTCAGCTCAACTCAGCCCAGCTCAGCTCAGCTCAGCTCAGCTCAGCTCAGCCCAGCTCAGCCCAGCTCAGCTCAGCCCAGCCCAGCCCAGCTCAGCTCAGCTCAGCTCAGCCCAGCTCAGCCCAGCTCAGCTCAGCCCAGCCCAGCCCAGCTCAGCTCAGCTCAGCACAGCTCAACTCACCCAGCTCAGCCAAGCCCAGCCCAGCCTAGCCCAGCCCAGCTCAGTTCAGCCCAGCCTAGCTCAGGCCAGCTCAGGCCAGCTCAGCCAGCCCAGCTCAACTCACCCATCTCATCTCATCTCATCTCATCTCATCTCATCTCATCTCATCTCATCTCATCTCATCTCATCTCATCTCATCTCATCTCATCCCAGCTCAACTCAGCTCAGCCGAGCCCAGCCCAACTCACCCAGCTCGGCCCAGCTCAGCTCAGCCCAGCTCAGCCCAGCTCTGCTCAGCTCAGCTCAGCTCAGCTCAGCTCATCCCAGCCAGTTCAGCCCAGCCCAGCTCAGCCCAGCCCAGCTCAGCTCACCCAGCTCAGCTCAGCCCAGCTCAGCTCAGCTCTGTCCAGCTCAGCTTAGCTCAGCTCAGCCCAGCTCAGCCTAGCCCAGCCCAACTCACCCAGCTCAGCCCAGCTCAGCTCATCCCAGCCAGTTCAGCCCAGCCCAGCTCAGCTCAGTCCAGCTCAGCCCAGCCCAGCTCAGCTCATCCAGCCCAGCTCAGCCCAGCTCAGCTCAGCCCAGTCCAGCCCAGCTCAGCTCAGCTCAGCTCAGCTCACGCAGCTCAGCTCATCCAGCCCAGCTCAGCCCAGCTCAGCTCAGCCCAGTCCAGTCCAGCTCAGCTCAGCTCAGCTCAGCTCATCCCAGTCTGCCCAGCCCAGTCCAGCCAAGCACAGCTCAGCCCAGCTCAGCTCTGCTCAGCTCAGCGCAGCTAGTCCAGTTAAGGTAGCTCAGCCCAGCCCAACCCAATTCAGCTCAGCTCGGCCTAGTCCAGCCTAACCAGTACAGTTCAGCCAAGCCCAGCTCAACCCAGTTCATTGCAACCCAACTCAGCCCTCCACCTAACCCTTCAGTACAGCACAGCCAGGCCCAATCCAGCTCAGACTAGCCAGCACATCACAGTTCAACCTTGCACAACCAGCTCAACCCAGTTTAGTTCAGCCCTACTCAGCCCAGTCAACTCAGCTTAATCCAGTCTAGTCCAGCTCAGCCCAGCCTGACCAACTAGACCAGCTCAGCTCAGTCAGCCACTTGAGTTGAGCTGGGCACAGCTCAGTCCTCTAGTCAAGTTTATCTCAAATCAGCTAAGCCCAGCCCTACTCAGCCCGGTCAACCTAGCTTAATCCAGTTCAACCCAGTTTAGTCCAGCCTAGCCCAGCTCAGCTAAGCCAGCCCAATTTAGTCCATCCCAGCCTAATCAACTAGGCCAGCTCAGCTCAGTCAGCCACGTGAGCCGGGCTGGGCACAGCTCAGTCCTTTAGTCAAGTTTATCTCAAGCCAGCTCAGCTCAGCCTAGTCCAGCAAACAGAGCCAGCTTAGTTTAGCTGTATTCTGCTCAGCCCAGCCAGCATGTTCTGCCCAGCCCAGCTCAATCTAGATTTGCACCATTCAGGCCTGTTCTAAACAGCTCACCCCAGTCCAGCTCATTTCAATCCAGAATCGCTGTTTCAGTTGAGGCCATCTCAGTCCAGCTCAAATCAGCTTTGCCAGCCTCAGCCATGTGAGCCAAGCTGGGCTCAGTTCAGTCCAGCTGGCTGTGACCGTCCCTCAGTGTCCCCATGTCCTCTCTTCTCTGTCTCAGCACAGCCTAGGTCTCACATCAGCCCACAGGGCTCCTGTCACTGGGACCAGTGACTCTGCTTGTCCTAACCAAGCTCTGTTTGCTGGACTAGGCTGATCACCAAGCCCAGCTGGACCCAGTCTGCTCAGTTCGTGGCAGTGTCCTGCCTGGGGGCCTGGGTGCTGGCTGTGCTCTC